CGGGATGCAACCAAAACAACAAAAAGATAGACCAGGGATCGAGCCCTGGCGGAGTCCGTAACAGAACGGGTTCGGGTACAGGGAGTGTTGGAGGGTAGTGAAATTGGTCTTTGAGAACAGGTCCCGCTGTCAGCCCGGGAAGTTGGATAATGAAAAAGTGAAGGAAATTATGGTTGATCGTTTTTGCATGAACTAAACACATTGTTTGTGTCTGTGTTAGTGTGTGATGGTGACAAAGGGGTTGATGGCCGGGCAGCCAGATGCCCTTTGGCATCTCGCTTCCCGTGACCCTTCAGCCTCTCGGTGGGAACGGGGCGCGACACACACACACACACACCAACACCGGCTTACTCGGGTCAAGCTACGAACGAATGAACCCGCATCAACAAGCTAGGAAGATCCGACGGAGAAGTATGAACCTACATGCCTAAATGAAAAAAAGACAAGGTACTCGCCTTTGTCCTACTGTAATAATAATAATAATAATAAAATGATAATAATAACAATAATATATATATATATATACATTTTTCTCCCGCTCCATTTTCCTTCTTTTCCTAATGTTTTTTTCTCTTTTTTTTTTTCCCCTTTTTTAGTTGTTGTTGTTGTTGGTGCTGTTATTGTTTTTTTTTTCCTTTGTTTTCTTTGATTCATTTTTTTTGGAAAAGCGAAATAAAAACCCGCTCATAACCCATCTGGTTACTAAAAATTCTTAGAACACAATTCGAAGATGCTTCGAATAGACGCCTGGTAATATGTGAGCTTGATACTTGCCACGTTGTCAATTCTTTTTTTCCTTTTCTTCGTTTTGCTTTTTTCATTTTTTTTTTTTTTTTTTTCGTTTTTTTTTTTTTTTTTTTTTTTTTTTTTTTTTTTTTTTTTTTTTTTTTGTATTGCCTTGCGTTTTTTTTTTTTTTGGTTTTTTCAAATAACTGGCGTCAATAAAAGAAAATTGTTTGTTCGTGGGATTGCCTGAAGTGCATTTTCAAACTGTTTTCGTGATTGCGCCGAAGTTCTTTCCCCCCGTTTTTTTTTTTTTTTTTTTTTCNTTTTTTTTCTTTCCTTCCCTTTTTTTTCCTTTTCCCTTTTTCGTTTGTCGCTGCCTTTTTCGGATTGTGTCGGGGTCGAGGAATCTAATGAAGGTTTCTCAGTAGTTGGCAATTCATCGGTGCTATTTTAGGCATTGATCACAGTAGAATTCAGTACTCGCAATTAGTGCACATGCTCTCTCATCAACAGGGCTGCCTAGCGTACCGAATGCTGATTGCGCCAATATCTTTTTTGCTTCGGGGGAGGAATTACAGGCTTCGGGCAAGCTAGCTGCGGACGATTGCAGCCATGGACTACGAGGTGGATGCAGCACTTCTGGATCGCATCATCGGCACGGAGGAGGAATTGGTATAATTCTGTTACTGTCGACAACGATTATTTGCTTGGTCTGCTTCTGCGCGCCTATCCCTCTGCGTCCCTCGCACCATACCTTTAGCTCTGCTTGCTACTCGTGGAACGCCATGCTGCACATTTTTTCGAAACGGCCACGATCATTTTGCAATTCCATCCCTTCGCGTTGTTTAGGTGGTTGTTCTGCAAAACACTCGCGCTTTTTGAAATCATGTCAAAGCAGGAGGGGATGGCGGAACGTGCGGAGGCTGCTATAGAGATCTCCGCTTTCGTTGTATTGCTCACGTTCCTTTCCTTCCTTGCTTTCCTCCTCCACCTCCAGTCTACTCCGCCTCCTCCTTCCTCTTTCGCAGTTACAAAACATGCGCAGTAAAGCTAGGCCTTTCTCGCACTACTTGTCCTTCCTCCCTTCCATTCACAATTTGGAATCTGCTCCACCCTTTACTTCCTCACGTGCACTCCCAAAGCACATGTGATGTTGCAGGGTTTACCCTCTAATGAAGCCGTGAATTTGTGGCTAGCGGCAGAAAAGCGCTTCAGGTAATGCCACTACCCTCCCTGCGATGGTTGTCGGGGAAACGATCCCGCATTACGTGGATCCTCCCTTGGGAATGCAGTCGAGATTTGAGAATTTTTTTTATGTTAATTGTGTTCGGTTCCTTGTACAATTTCATGGAGTGATAAATTGGCAGTACAACTGCGGCCAGCGTTCTTTCGGTGCTTTCTTGCTGATCTATTCTCTCATTCATGCTCCTTGTGTGCTGCGTTTGTGCGTCTCAATTGATTCATAAAAACCCTACACATTCGAAGCATGCTCTATTCTCTCATTCATAAAAACCGAAAGTGTGCTGCGTTTGTGATCTATTCTCTCATTCATAAAAACCATTTTTCAATTTCTGCATTGTTTAACGAAAATCAGGCATGCTTCGAATGATCCTACTATTCGATCTGTTCGTACATACTGCCTTCTGCTGTCTCAATTGTGACATGAATTTTGTGGAATTATTACGGACCACTTTGGATGCAAATAAGAATGTTTAAGTCTATTTTTATTGTCATTATTTTTTACTATTATTGTTTATTGAGTAGGAAAGCTCTGCTTAGTAAATATTGCTGCTACGGTTTCATTTGAAGAGTGCATGGATCGGCTGGATCCCCGGACAACAACAGTGGCGCTCCTTGTGTAGGGTTTGGGTCAATTAAAATCATGTGTTCACCCAACTTGATTTTTGCGGAGAATGCGTCGAACTATTATTTCGGAGCTTATTTGATGATAGGGTTTCTGTATCACCACGTGTCATACCATGACGATCTGTTCGCACATACTGCCTTTTGGTGTCTCGAATCATGACATGAATTTTTTGGAATTATTACCGACCACTTTGGATGCAATAAAGATTGTTTAAGTCTGTTTTTATTGTCATTATTTTTTACTATTACCGTTTATTGAGTAGGAAAGCTTTGCTTAGTAAATACCGCTGCTACGGCTTCGTTGGAAGAGTGTATGGATCGGCTCGGATCCCCGGACAGCAACAGTGGCGCTCCTTGTGTAGGGTTTGGGTCAATTAAAATCAGGAGGGATCCTCTCGTCAGCGTTGTTGGTGGTGGATCCCACCAACCGCTTCTCTGTAGTTTATGGGTAGTGATGACACTCGTACTTACGAGCATGGATAGTCGAGATGGAGTTCGGTTTGTTGGGAGATTGCCGATATTACGCGGGTTACGGAAGCCTCCCACCTGCACTAGCCGGATACCGGACAGGTAATCACTCCTATCCCCCTCCCCTCTATCTTTGGTATTTTTACACGCCCTCCTTCCGTTTCTTTTCTATCCTATCTTTTTTGTTTTGCAGATAATGCCGAAGTTGTTCTTCCCTGGTGGGTGGTGGGACGAAGTCACACAGAAGTACGCGTGGTTGAAAAACCATCCATCGCCCAGCAAGTCTGCGCAAGCATTAATTACAACCATGAAGCTGGAGATTCTAAACGCAAACAAGACGGTGGTACAGATGGGGAATTTTCCGAACTTTTTTTGCATGGTTGGGTTTTGTGATCTAGCTACGCTTGCCTCCACGTGGGATTCAGGGAAGGTAGCTTTTGATGCACACCTACTGGGACTCGCTCGAAAGTTAGAGGCAGGTAAGGTCGATTATGATAGGGAATGTGCAGAATTACCCGCACACACTGCCACGGTGGAACAAATATTCTTGAAAATCTGGAATCTGGACCACTCTCACCTAACGGGAAAAGCCTTAGATAAGCAACCTTAAAATTGCACCACCAATGGCGTGATCGCAATGGACGACGAAGAGATGGCGGAAATGAATGTCGCTCTGGCCGAGATCATTGCTTCCACCAGTCTTTACACTACAAAGGCCACGACATCACCTAGAGGGCAATACACCGCTTTTGCCCCGCTACCCTCCACACACTGGGTCGAGCACATGGGCCTTGCGTTCTCGCATGCAGTTTGGAAATTACCCACCCTCAATTACCTCGCCCCGATCTCAATCAACGCATTTATCTTTCTTGCCAACCTTACGAAGCAAGAAGTCGCCAAATGCAAGGCCAACGCCATGACAGGGGACCTGCCATACTGTCCTCCAGGAAAGAAATCCTTCAACCCTTCACCCCTGAAATTCCCAAAGCTTTTGCTGCTTGATCACTCGAAGTGCAAACTTTCTGACCCCTCTATGTGGCAAAAAAAATTAAGGACTGCCCGAAGCTCGATCTAAGAGCACTGAGGAAGGGTTGGAATGTTGCTCGCCCATACTTGCATTGTCAGTGGCAGACACAGAGAGCGAAAGATTGCGGTGTTGGTCCTATCTGGGTAGATCACACGATCTGGTACCTATTCGCACACCCTGGCATCCTCTTCCCCAACGTGGCGTCTCTGAAGGTAAGAACGTCAATGCTCATTCATTTCCTACGTGGCGCTTGGAAGTCGGCGGTCGAGGCCTGCCTTTTATGTCCATCACGGAAATAATGACCAACATTATCACAACCCTCGAAGAGGATCCCACTCTTGATTCTGAAACAGTAATCAAGGACAAGACGCTATGGAAATACAACACCCCCCTGACGATTGGCAGGGTGCTCCTGCCCACAAGAATCACCCGCAACCCCAGAGTGAGACCCACAGGTTCGACCGATGGACCTGGAAACACGCAGAAGAGAGCACGCGGCAACTTATCACTTCCCCCAGACAAAGGGTGCTTCCTTTTGAACCCAGGCCACTGAGGGAGGGGGGTATCGAGATGAATCCTCCACATTGCACGCCTCGCGCAAACACACACAACGCCAGAGATGGTGGTCAGGCCCCCCTGCGGGAGGGTATTGGTGCGGGCACGCAGCGAAGGGATAGATTGCGACAGGAAGCACCGCGCGAGCAGCGCAAGGATCATCTGAGAAAGAAAAGCTGTATTGTGTGTATGTAGCAATTGGTCAGAAGCGTTCGACCGTAGCACAATTAGTGAAAATTCTTTCAGAAGCGGGTGCTTTAGAATATTCTATTATTGTGGCAGAATGCAAGATAGATTATCTTGTTGATTAATTTAAATGAACCATATCTACATATCTAGGTATCGAACAGTAATGGCTGTTCCCAAACTCATTGACAAAAAGATACATAGAGATCATATAAAAATACATAGAAATCATATATAGCAAAACTACCGCTACTCAGGGAATCGCTTTTGCTTTTTTTTCCTCTGGCTACTAAGATGTTTCAGTTCACCAGGTTCTCTCTTATCCGCCTATGGATTCAGCGGCAGTACAAGGGGTTACCCCATTCGGGAATCTCCGGATCTATGCCTGTTTTCGACTCCCCGAAGCAACTTGTCAGAAATTGATCTTAGATTTCTGGCATTATATTATAGTGGACTCCTTCCTGAGCCTTTGAGAACATTTACCTACGGACAAGCTATCGGTACCTTTATTTTATTTTATTTATGGTAAGTCCTAGGTATTCACCACATTGTTGCAGTGGTGTGGTTGCAAACATCTAGCACAGCGGCGCACAGATCATTAAGAAAGCGTGAGCTGTTATTAACACATTATAAAGTTGATGATTTCCACCA